TGTAAACTAATTCGGTTTTGCGAGAGACTCACCTGGAACCCAGCTGAATCTCTCGTTTGTGAGTAGTGCATTACAAAAATACATTCTTGTCATTTCACTGAAATGCTGAAAATAAGTAGTGCTTCAACTTACTGAAGTGAGCTTGTCGGAGGAGAAACCACACTGGAATCTGTCGCACTGTTGCGGCCTTGGGGTTGAGTAGTGCTTCAACTTACTGAAGTGAGCTTATCGAACGATAAACCACACTGAAATCTGTCGCACTATTGCAGCCTTGGGATTAAAGAACCGTGAGATCACCGACTTCCTTTCAGGGAGATTAATCCTATTTACAGACTAACTTCCACCAGAAAACATTAAATTGTAACAAGTGCGCTTTCTCAAGTCACATTGGCGAAGCAGGTAACAAATGTCAAGCCAACCTACAGGGGTCTGCTAATGTGTGTGTGGCTTGACCATAGTGAAAGTGAAAGGCCAGTGTGTCATAGTAAGACAGCATAGAAGCAACTTGCGAAAATAATTGCAGAATTCCCCACTAGGAGAAAAGCACTTACACTTACCACCAGTTTTCTACAAAATCTCCTGCCATTTTAACGCCCCCCGATGCCTAGGACTGCATGACAAACGTGAACAATCTGATGGAAGATACTGAACCATCAAGCCAGCTACACTCACCCAAAATGGAAATCCTAAAGTGCATTGTGACTACCCAATGGGTAGTAAACCTCTAATCATGGTGTCATAAGAAAACAAGTTCGTGTGCACTGAAAGTAATTGTAGAAGTCTGTCCAATTTGGGTTCAAGTAGGACATACGGTAGACCGGAACTCGGGGACTTCACCCACCTGATGAGTCCCAAGATGGAAAAAAACCGGTCGTGGGCTTTCGAAGTGTTTCAGGCAACCTTATGAGTAGTGAGTTACGTCCAAACAACGATTAGGCGAAAATCCACACGGACCCCTCTTTACCGCTCGCAGTCAGATGCTGCTACAACCGAGAAGTCCATCCCATGCAAGGCTATTAAAAATTCGGAGCGCATGCCAATCCGACATCAAGCCGAGATCTGATTGGTCGAAAGTCTGGACCCAACAGCCAATCATGACGGAGTATTGGCCGAATGCCGGTTGCCAATGACGCATCCAGAACGTGTCAGAATTTCTCGAGTTATTGCTGCTTACGCTATATGTATGACGCGGTGTACAAGTGTTCTTCATTTCGTTTTGGGCGTTAGTATTCGTCGTGCACCTTTGGTGGTTGTTTTTAACGGTAAGGCTCAGACCGAGAACTGAGCTGAGAAAAACACCGTTACTACAACAACTCGATACGGAGTTGTCTAAAGACCTGAGATCAGTTTTCAATACAAACCTCGAACACATCACCCCATTAAAACGTCCAGTTAATCCAATCCTTTTGGAAACCGACGCTCCCTCATGTTTTTTTGTACCGGATAGCCGTCGTACTTCCGGTTGCTTGATCGTTCGGAAGAAAACCCCGTTTGGTGAATTTAGTTCGCTATGTCGGAAACCTTGCGTATGTTTCAGAAAAAGGCGGATGAGCACAACAAAAATGCGCCCTCAACCTTTATCATAAGGGTTGCACCAAAAACGATAGGCCAAAGTGGCATCCCCCCATTGGGGGGGAGCAGATGACGGCCACTTGCAGAATCGAGAATGACGTCAACCACGACACAGCTCATGTCTGCCCGTCAAATTTACGAGGACAAACAAGAACATATGAGAAACATTCATAGGCTATATCACAGATTTACAAAGATGCGGGACGCGATTTCATAGAAGAAGCTCTGTGCTTGATGAAAGTTAATAACTAAAGCAATTGGATAGCGAACTGATCGAAAGATTCACGCTCAATAATGCACGGAAGTTTCCGATCTGGAAATCAATGCAAGACGATGATCGGGAGAATGTGTGCAAAAACCGTGCCATTTCCGAGATATGTGGGAGAATGAGTGCGATTAGTCAAAGGCAATTAGTACAAATAGCGGACTGATGTGGAAGGGCATCACGACAGGGGCAGATTCGTGTCAACTGTGAAGTCTCACTGGAAGCGACACAATCGAACCAATGTCGATCAGATTGGAACACACAGGTATTGTTACGAGCCCAGCGGAATGGAGCCAGAGGATGATTGTGGTGTTGTATAGTCGCACAATCGAACTCAAAGTGTTTCTCCAGTGTGAATCGGTTATTGACTGTGGGAAAGTGTTCCGGTGCACAGTGTAAACAATCCGGACAAGTCACATTTGTGGAAACCGGAAGAGACGTGGAACGGCGTAAGAGGTATTCACTAGTGACGGCAGCTTCAGCGCTCGGTCGTACCGATGGTTTGTTTGTCGATCGCACCACGGAACAGGCCGCAGCACAAGACACACCAGGAGCAGCAACTATCACACGAAGACTCGAGGCTGGAGGCCACCGAACACTGTTTACACGAGCCTCCAAGTTAGCCACGAATGTATACTCCTTGGGAGAATTAGGAGGTAACGGGAGCGGTGCCTGAAGCAATCCCAGCCCTGCAGCACCATCGCAGAACGACTGATGAGTCAGAAGAGCATTCAGGCGCTCGAGGAATCCAAGCGGACTGAATTCAAAAGGACGATAGGCAGAAGAAGACTGTGGAAACAAAAAGACGTGGATATTCTATCAGAACTTGGCACCTGCTACCAAACGTCTCAGGTGACAGTCTCACGGGATCGGACACCTGATTATCAGATAACATCAACTCTAACCGTTAGGATTCCCTATATCCGTTTGCATGTATTCATTCAATCCACTCCTTTGTTAGCTTATTCATTTGAGTACTGTTCTGAAAGAATGGAGCGTAGAAACGACAAAAGATACCTTGAACAAGACAAGATGATACAACAACCAGACGGCGGAGCCGTGCTGGCACCCGAAAGAATGGAGCGTAGAAACGACAAAAGATACCTTGAACAAGACAAGATGATACAACAACCAGACGGCGGAGCCGTTGCTGGCACCCGCATTTATTCTGACGCGTGATTCTTTCTAGAGGTCTTTACATATCAAATTGTTGCAACAGCCAAAGTGTATAGTGGGGACGCCCAAGCAGAGTATCGAAGGTTGACTAGGGGACAACTCACATTGATTTTGGCCAATACGCGGCGCATTGTAAGGCGCAATGCCGTGGCATTTTGCGTGTCCACCAGATACGAGTATGGCTCACCGACATACTTTTCCAAATACGGTTGTTGACTGGTAAGCTAACAGGAGAAAAAGGGTGAATGACAGAGATGAACGACGGCACCAAAAGCTGGTAAATTTTAACTACTGTCAATTCAGAAGTAGTGAAACAACTAGGCGATAGTTTAGGTGCACTCAGATGAATGACACCTTACTGCTTTAAAGTACAACATTAACAAATATGGGTGTACTTTGAATAACTTGAAGTGCGTAAAAAGCAAGAACGCAGGTTTTCGTTCATTCGACCACGTAATCAATAATCACCTGTTTCTGTGTGTATATTTTTCACCCAGTAATTTTGAACGATCGCGCTGCACCATCCTCAGTACCGTTAGATCTGTCAAGGTCAAGTGGAATGTTTAACGAAACAGAAGCTAACGTGAATGCGTACCAATCAATCCGAATGAGCCGAAAAAGTCCATCGATGCATCCAACGATGGTAAAAACAACATAACTCAACTTAAAAGTATAGTTCATGAGTAATGATGACCCCCTACCTATGCACTCAAGTGAATAGGGTTTTCGCCTGTGGATGAAGCTGCAATCGACACAACTGCTTCCCAATACCATCAAAAGCTGCTAGGAAAAGTCACAATCGATATCAATCGAGAGATCTTCTGAAACTTACCTTCCTTGTGGTTGGCTTGTCTGCGAAGAACGCGGTGTTGCCTCGGCCACGAGGTGGCGTGAAACGCGGGTTGAGAAAAACGAGACCGTTTGCGATCGCTTCCAATGGGGCGGGACCTTCGTATGGAAATCCGAGGCCAACCATAACCTTGAGGAGAATATGAAGAGGAGCTAGTCTCGATAGACGGAAATGAATCAGAACATTTGAGGAGCGAAGAACACTTTGTGAAGTGTTAGGCAGGAATCCACACGGATCCCGCTATACCGCACGTCTTTAGGCGCTGCTACGGCCGAGAAGCCTGACCCGCACGAGATTGGCCAAGAATTCGGGACGCTTGCCGGTCCGGCATCAAGACGAGATCTTATCGG